AGAGGGCGTCTTTCGGGGAACCCGAAGTTCAGATGCAGCAGCTGCCAGAGAGCAGGGTACCAGAGAGAGAGAGCGGGCACGAAGGCAGTCCCACCTCCCCATCACACAGCGAGACGATAAACAGCAGCGCAAGGCGCGACGGGAGAGCCAGAGGCCACAGAAACACACCTCCGGGGCCGACCTGGAATGGCAACCGTGGCAAGCAGCAAGACACCCGAGATCAGGAATCGACCACACGCCCGCCGCTTGACGGTCAACCATCATCTGCAGAGCTCATATCTTAGGGCTCCCAACTTCGCGCTTCGCGCTCCGCGAAGCGCGTATAACTTCGCGCTCTCGCGCCGCCCCCCAAAAGGGAGATAAGGAGGACGAGGAGAAGGGGGAGAAGGAACGAGGACCGCGAGGCGCGAAACGCGAATAACTTCGCGCCCTCGTGGGAGCCCTTGAGGCAGGCAGCCCAAAGAGACAGAGGCCCAGCGCAAAGGGCGAAGAGAGGCGGGGCGGCAGCCGGCACACTGTAAGTGGTGAGGTGAGGAAGCGCGCGCGCGGAGGACCAAATGATCGTTCAAGCATGCTGTGGACATCAGGTTGACTTCCGTACACGTCGGTCGGAAGAAGTAGGTAAAAACATGATGAGGTAGGAAGGCGGATTAAGTTGATTGGGTCCAGGCCCCCCGGGGAACAACAAAGCACAGCAAAAGCGTGTCGATTCTTGAAGTAGGCAGGCGCATGAAGCAGATTGGGATCTGGGAATCCAAAAACACCTGCTTTCAACGACCGGCGTGTACGTGTTTGATCACCTGTGTGCTGACATGCCTCGACAACCAACGGAGCACCTATGTTTCGGAAGACGGTCGGCTGTGCGCGCGCGGAGACGCGCGCATGTGGCCCGCACGGTCTTGCTCGTCAGGAGTTGGCGGGGGAGTGGCGGCTGTCGTGGAGCAGCTTCGACACACGCGCGCGCGGGTGGCCCGCAGGGTCCCACGTGGCAGAACGGCAGAAGGCCGACGGCGGTGGAAGCTATGCTCAAGTCGGGCTTGTCCTCCGACAGGCGGAGTTTGAAGAAAAACATGAAAGATAGTCAAAAGATGCTCAACGATCCTGGCGAAGGACCCAACCATACGCAACTGTGAGTACTACCGCAGTTGTGAGCCTCGCCTTCGGTGGAGCTCCCTATGGGGCCACGAAACGTGTGAGGAGTGCGCCGAAATGGGTGCGGTGGCGCCATGCGAACCCTGCAGCTGGGGCCTTCGGTGGAGCTCCCTGTGGGGCTATGAAACGTGTGAGGGGTGTGCCGAAATAGGTGCGGTGGCGCCATGCGAACCATGCCGCTGGGGCCTTCGGTGGAGCCACGAAACGTGTGAGAGGTTTGCCGAAATTGGGCGGGGCCGTCATGCGAAGCTTGCCACTGGGGCCTTCGCTGGAGCTCCCCATGGGGCTATGAAACGTGTGAGCGGTGCGCCGAAATGGGGCGGGGCCGCCACGCGAACTTTGTCACTTGGGCCTTCGGTGGAGCTCGCTATGGGGCCACGAAACGTGTTAGGAGTGCGCCGGAGTGGGGCGGGGCCGCCATGCGAACTTTGCCGCTGGGGCCTTCGGTAGAGCTCCCCATGGGGCCACGAAACGTGTGAAGGGTGCGCCGAAATTGGGCGGGGCCGCCATGCGAAGTTTGCCACTGGGTCCTTCGGTGGAGCTCCCTATGGGGCCACGAAACGTGTGAGGAGGCCGCCGAAGTGGGGCGGGGCCGCCCTGCGAACATTGCCCCAAGGGCCGTCGGTGGAGCTCCCGATGTGGCCACGCAACGTGTGAGGAATGCGCCGAAATGGGGCGGGGCAGCCATGCGAACTTTGCCGCTGGGGCCTTTGGTGGAGCTCCTTGTGAAACCACGGAACGTGTCAGGGGTGCGCCGAAATGGGGCGGGGCCGCCATGCGAGCTTTGCCACTGGGTCCTTCGGTGGAGCTCCCCATGGGGCCATGAAACGTGTGAGCGTTGCGCCGAGGTGAGGCGGGGCCGCCATGCAAAGTTTGCCACTCGGGCCTTCGGTGGAGCTCCTTCTGGGGCCACGAAACGTGTGAGAGGTGTGCCGAAACACATACACGCGGAGGGAAGAGGCAGGGAAGAGAGGAGCGCGAGGAGGAAGGAGGGAGGGACGCGGGGCGCCGTCTCATCAAAACGAAAACCCCACACCACAGGATGGTTGAGGGAATTAAGAAATCACAAACACGAATACTAAAAAATGACCCCCGGGCTGTTTGTGCTCTTCTTGGAAGCTCCTCCCGTAGAGGGACATGCCCGGCTCAAATCGGCGGCGAGCGAGGGGGGGAAGTGAGAAGGAGAAGGCCTTCTCAGAAGGCGGCGGGGCTTCTCAGAAGCCCTCGCGCCCTCTTAAAAGTTTTTTCCTGTCTTCGGGGAGGGCTCGGAACACTTCTCAGAAGGCCGGGGAACTTCTCCGAGCCCTCTGAGGAGACCCGCCCCTCCTCGCTTCCCTCCCTCGCTCGCCGCCGAGCAAAAGCTGTGCGCCGGAAGCCATGTGGCGCAGAAGCTGCACGCGGCGCGGCCCAGCGCGCACACGGCGCCCCACGAGATAGGGGGCCACACGCGAACCCTACCCCTACCCCCCACGACTTCTAGAGGGGCAGGGTGGGGTCCACTCCGCTCGGGAGCTCCCGCACGAAGGGAACCCCACCCTCCCCCCCAGAAACCGTGGGGGGTAGGGGGATAGGGTTCGCACGTGGCCCCCTCTTTATGCTCATGTCGTCCCTCGCTCCCCCGGACTCGCATCGACCCCTGGCGGCGCCCTGCCGGGGGCGCCGCCAGAAGCTGTCTGAGGAGCTTGTCCCTGGGTGCGCCGTTGCTGCCGCGATTAGACGAGGCGAAAAAACGTCTACCGCCTGGTGTCGGTTTATCTCCCTCCGTCCAGGAAGACCGAAGCCATAGATACCATCCGCCAGGCCATCGAGAGATGGGACGACAGGGCGGCCCTGCCAGGGGCGGCGGACCCCTGGCGGCGCCCTGCCGCACGGGGCGCGGGCCGCCCCAATGGGGGGGCCCGCGGGCGGCCACGGGGCAGGGAGGCACCCCGCGGGCGGCGGGCAGCGCGCGCACGCGGAGAGGCGGCCGCCCACACCGAGGCGCCCGCGCGCGGCCGCCGAGGGGCGGAGGCCTCGAGGCGCGCGGCCGCGGGTTGCGAGAGGATGCGCGAGCGTCTTCTCATGGAGGTTACAATCGGAATCAGTGGCCGTGGTCGTGGTCGTGATCGTGGTCGTGGTCGTCGTCGCGGTTGTGCGGCGGGTGCCGCGGAGGAACTTGCACTCCCCACCACTCGTGGGGCCCCGGTCCATCAAGCGGGGCGTCGAGCAGACGTTTCGTTGCCCCTCCCGGGGGCGGGGCGGCCGCCGAGGGGCTTACAGTCGGGACGTTGCCCTAAAGGAACCCTCAAGTTAGGTCGGGCGTGTCCCCCTACAGGGGGGATGTTCGACGAAGAATAGGTCATGCTCAAAAAATGCTCCCGAATGGTAATATAACAACAAAAAAAACTGAAAAAAATCCCCAAAACCATGCTTCAACTATTTCTGAAGATTCCCCCTGTAGAGGGGCAGGCCCGACTTAACCCTAAAGAAGGAGCGAGGCCCCTTCTATCCACAAGCTGAGCTTCGACTTCCCATCGAAAGCCTGAGGAACACCTAAGGCAAGCTGTGAAACAGTCAAGGAACACCGAGCCCCATCCCCAACGAAAAGGGTTCCTTCTTCAGCGCCAAGGAGACTGTAAGATCGAGGTTCGAACCCCTAAGTGCAATCGCTGCTTTGGGAACCAGCGCGTTCGGCTCACGGCAACAGCCCTCACGCGAGGAACACCTTCACAGACTAACCCTCCGTCAGTACACACACAAGCGTACCGCTCGCTCTTCTTGGGTCGACAAGGAGACGAGAGGTGCGAGCCCGTCAAAGGCTTAAAAGCCATTGGGCACGGCTGGAACAAGCCGCAATCAAATAAGCAATGGTACAACTACACGCGTCTCAGAACCATGTGCCGCAATGATACAGTGACAATTCCGTCACATGTTTGTGAATGGCGACGGCAGTCAACCAGAGCCATGGTGCAGGCAACGGGCCATCGGCCAATTTGAGCAAAAAGAGCGCCGACGTTGCCCAGATGTGCCACGCAGTCTGCAAGCAGCACCGCCAGGGGACAAGTTTTTTATTATTTGTTTTTCTTTTTTGTTTATCTTGGGGGCCCCTCGGGGCTCCTTGGAGGCTCTGCAAAAGGCGGTCGACTCCTTGGTCGAGCAGTCCGCACTCTGCCGTGGCGAGGGGGGGGCGGCCCTACTGAGGGGAGCTCCCACCTGCCGCGCGGGGTGCCGCAGCACCGCCGGGGGGCAAGTTGAGACACTTGCGGCCCAGAGGAGGAGCGAGGCGGAGAACGAGGAGAGGAGGGCAGCCGACGTCTCCGCCGGCCCTCCTCCGAGCCCTGAGGATGTCAGGGCCACGTTTTTTCGCCCGCGCTCGCTACGACGATGTGACTTGGAGAAGGCTGATCCTGCCGATGACGACGATGGTGACTACCTACCAGGCCACCCCAACCCAACCCGAAGACCCGAATTTGACCCGAATTTCGGGTTGGGGGGGGGGGGTACGGATACCATGTGTTTTTTCAACGTTCCCCGACCCCGCCCCCACTGGAAATCGAGGATAAATTTGGGCCTTCGGGTTGGGTTGGGGTGGTTTGGTGGGTGGTGAGATGGAGGGCGAGATCCGTCACGGTCATGATGGCGATGACGATAACAGCACTCGAGCTGGATGTCTGCGCACTGTGGAGGTGGTGGTGGTGCATCGTCACGGGGACAGGCGAACCTGTCCGATCGGTGCTCGGAAGCGTGTGTGTGCGCGTGCGGCCCTGGAGATCCGATGGCAGTGGATCGACTCCGCCCTGGCCTTCCTGCCTGCCAAGCCTCCAACGTCCCTCCCCGGACAGGCCGACAGGAGAGCACGGAAGGCTCGCCTCCTGGGTCGAGCTCGCAGACTCCTCCGCGCGCCGTCGCAGCTTCTGGTAGAACCTCTGGAGCCGCTTCATCAGGATGAGGTTCCCGAAGAGCGATACGGGCAGGACCTGGTTCGCCAGGCGGAGGAGAGGCGGGCGGAAAAAGGAGAGAGGAGAGATGAGGGCAGGATGATGGGAGGGGAGCCCCTGGAGGGCAGAACGGAAGGGTGGAAGAGCGGAAGGGAAGGGCGGAATGTACGTGGTCAGAGGAGGGGCGGGAGGCAAGGGCGGGAAATGCAGGGAGGGGAGGGAGGGCGACGGGGAGGGAGCGACGGGGAGTTAAAAAAAGTAAGGGGCTACGGCTACGGCCGTGGGTGCCCAAACTGAAACAGCTGCCTCGCTGCGCCGCGCCGTGCTGCAGGAACGGCAGCGAAGAGACCGATGGCCCCACCGACGGGGCAAGGCCCGCCCCCCCCCCAGCAGCGGCCGTCCCAAGGGGGAGCACTGCGGCCGAGGCCCTCGCCACCCTGGTGGGGGCGGAAAGGAGGAGGAGGAGGAGGAGGAGGAGGAGGAGGAGAGAGGAGGAGGAGGAGGAGGGAGGAGGAGGAAGGAGGAGGAGGAGGAGGAGGAGGGAGGAGGAGGAGGAGGAGGGAGGAGGAGAGGAGGGAGGAGGAGGAGGAGGAGGAGGAGAGGAGGAGGAGGAGGAGGAGGAGGAGGACCAGAGGGCAGCCCACGCAGCCCCGAATGCTGCCACCCGGACCCCGAACCCGCCCCACAGGCCGCCCCCCCCCCCCCCCCCCCACAACAGGCCCCGCGTCCCGGCTTCGGCAGCTGGCCTCGTCGGCCACACAACGCAGCGACGAACCAGAGCACCCGCACTCGTCGCCGAGAGCACCCAGCTGGCCCCCTTGTCCTGACCAACGGGGTGCACTTCTCAATAGGCTCTGGCCTCGCCGCCACGTTCCATAGTTCGGCCTCCGCGAAAACGCGGGCGAGGCACAATGCTCGAGCCACGAGGGCGCACCGGCTGTCCAGACCTTCCGTCCAGGCGGGACGGCTGCTGATGTGCCCCAGCTGCGCCGTACCCTCGGACGGAGACCTGACCTCAGAGCCTGCGCTCGGCCCCAGACATGCCAGCCCCCTCGGTGGTGACGGGCGGGCCTTCCCCCCTTGACCGTAATGTTAGAATGCCTCTTCTTCTTCCTGATATAATAAGTAATTGTATTACGATGTGTCTTATTACTGTTAGTATCACGTTTGTGCTTCTTACTGGTCTTATTTATCAATATGATGCGTAATGCCATTAGTGTTTGGTTCAGTGTTAACATTCATGTATTGTTGTTCTAGTATTAGTATTGACATCAGATTCCTTAGTACCCTTACCACTGTTGGTCGTCAAACGATTATTGCTATTACTTCTTAGTACGAAGTAGTACCAGTGTTCATACTATTGGTACTACTCTTTTTATTACTATAGTTGTTCGTATGAATACGAATACTCGCGTGTTAAGAAGTATGATTACGATCACTATCATTATCATCATCATCGTTATCATTAGAATTTGCTTCTCGGTGGCGGACAGGGCTCCGGGAAACTACCCCCGATGCTATCGATAAGAAGCAGGCGAAACATGCATAGTATTATTATTACTAGTATTCGTTTGCTTATTATTATTCATCTTCGTATTATTAGTGTAAGCTGGGGTTTGGTCCCGCTCGCGGCGAGCACCCCTGGGCCCGCGACGACGTCACACTCCTTCACGAACTCTTCGGCGCTCGACTCCACGGCACATCTGCCCCGGCACTCCCGCGGGCAGCCTCCTGTTGGGTTCGGCCCCCGGCCTCCTCGGGGAACTGCAACTCCTTCACCCTCGGCGCTCATGCCCCCCCCGCCTCTGCGGATCGGGCTGGCGCGCGACGGCGTCCTTCTCCACGCCGCCACTGCTGCGCACCACCTCGTCGCCCGTCTCCCGGGGGACTGGGCCACCTCCCCGAAGTCGATGCGCGCGGACCAAAAGAGGGAACGGCGGGGAGCATCAACGGAGGCCCCTAATGTGGTCGGAGGATCGCGCCGAATCGCCGATGCATAGCCGATGCATCGGCGATGCATTGGCGACGTCGGGGACGTATCGGCGTGGTCGGCGTGGAGAAAATCGGACTCCACATCGGGCCGAATCGCCGATGCTTCCGCGACGCGGCGCGATCCACCGACTCCGTTTCCCCGGACACCATCTGGGAGGCCTACAATCGGTCCAATATCCACGCCCCCTTCCCCCTGCAGGATGGCGCCCGCGAGCTCTTCGCTCATCGCGGGAACGCTAGGAACGGCGGGGAGCACAAACCCAGCCTCCACTCCGCACCTCCTTCATATAGTCCTGAACGTTCTTCGGCTCGTTCGCGGCATACCCAGCGCTCTCCGAGCCCTCGTCTCGTCTTTCGGGGACTCAATCCCCGCACTGGCCCAAATGAGGCGCCCGGCGTCCGCTAGGCTGGCCTTGGCGAATTCATTCGACAGCAGCTCGCCCAGCGAACGCCAGGACTGCGCCCCTCGCGCGGACCGCCGCAGGAGGTGGCAGGCGGCCCCGCCAAAGAAATGGGCCCAGGAGGGGGGCGAGGGCAAGTTAGCTCAAAATCGGCCCCCAGACCCCTCCCTGGGTCGAATCTGGCCTCTTCTTCGAGCGGCGCCCTGCCCTGGCGACGAGGGGGCCCCTTCCTGCCTCGACCCCTCACTCCTCCAAGCCGAGCCAGCGGTGGGCCACCTCGACCCCCCCGGGCGGCCCCGAGCAAGAGGGCCTGTTTGGGGCGCGCCTCCCTCGCCGAGCTCGCCAAGCTCACGGCCCGCGCCGACGCGGCATTTCGGAGCATGCCAGCGCGCAGCTGGAGAGGCGACCCCCCCCCACCCCCCCGCCCACCCCCCCGCTTCTTCCACGGGCCAAACCTGTTGATGTTCGACGCGCGAACAGCGGCGGCAGCGAAACGACAACCCCATGCCCTCGCTGGCCCCTCCTGCGTCGTCCTAAAGAGCCCTCCGGATACGCAAATGCAACGCATCCATTTCCGAAACCTATGTTTTGTGAGAGTGTTGCCGCGGCGCGAACGCGCGATAAACAAACAGCGATATCGCTGCCAAATAATTCGGCCTTGACAACCTCAAGAGCACTGGGTGAGCGCGCCTGCGCCCCAATTAAACTGTCAAAAACCTGGCCGCGAGATCCAGCGACCCGAATCACAATGGGCCTCTAATGCGCAGCAAGTCGCAAATCGACGCCACCGACGACGATCACAGAATCAAATCACACGGAAACGCAGAGCCCGGCATCAGGGGGTTCGCCAGGTTGACCCAAGTGAGCGTTAGAAGGGGCCGCCTTCCTCACGCCCCCGCGCAGGCGTGCGCCGGCGAAGCGAGGAGGGCAAATAATGGGGGGAGGGGCGAAGAGGGCGACGAGAGGAGGAGGGTATAGGGGAAGGGGTGGAGGGCGGCAGAGAAAATAAGTGATGACAGGGACGAGGGGGGGGAAGAAGGTGGAGGGACGGAGGAGGAGGAGGAGGAGGAGGAGGAGGAGGAGGAGGAGGAGGAGGAGGAGGAGGAGGAGGGGGAGGAGGAGATCGGGGGGGGGGCGGATGGGGGAGGGGGGGGAGGAGGAGGAGGAGAGGAGGAGGAGGAGGAGGAGGAGGAGGAGGAGGAGGAGGAGGAGGAGGAGGAAGAGGAGGAGGAGGAGGAGGAGGAGGAGGAGGAGGAGGAAGAGGGCGACGGTGGAGAAGGAGGGGGGGCGAGGCTGACGAGCAAGGGGCGCACGAAAAAGCCTTCCCTCGCAAACCAAAAATTCCGCGCGGCCGGCGCGCCCCCGCCAATCCACTGGGGCCCTCGCGGCGCCAGGGGGGAATTGGAACGTGACTTTCGGGGCGGTTGCACCAAATATTCCTGCGAAGCCCCGCGGGCAATTCTTTAGCAAGCGGGCTCGCCTAAGAATGTTTTGGCGAGGCTTCAGGGAAACATCTTGTCGACCCACCATCCGGGCCACCCTCTGGGCCGCCTCCCGGGCTCGGGGAGGGGGGCGCCGACGCCGGGCGACGCTCGCGAGCGCCGCTGGGCCGTGCGATGTTTTTTTGGCTCGCGCCGCTGCCCGGCGCCACCTGCCTGGCGCGGCTTTCCGGGCGCGCTCGCGCCCGCGATGGGGCGGGCGGGCGGGGCGCGCGGGGAGCGAGGAGGGAGATGGGAGCGCAGGGAGCAGGCGCGCGAGAGGGAGGGGGCGGGGGGGGGGGAGGCGGAGGAAGAGGAGCGAGGAAGGAGGGGGGGGAGAGTGGGACAGGAAGGATGAGCAGGGGGATGCAATTGAGGCAGAGGAGAGCGAAAAGGCTTGGGCGGGAGCCGGGGGCCTCCCACCACCGGAGGGCGCTCGCGAACCGAGGGCCCGCCATGAAGCGGCGGCGGCGATGGCGACAACGGAAAAGACGACGACGGCGACGTTGACAACGCACGCGGCCATTTCGAAGTGGAGCGAAACGAGAACGCGGGAGATTGCCGCTTCAAAGCAAGACCTAGACGAGCGAAGCATGAAGAAAGTTGATAACAAAGAGGACAGAAGCAGCGAAACAGAGGCTGCGGACAAGCAGCACTGCGCATCCATAGCGACGGCTTAACGAAACCAAATGTTTGAAATAACGCTGCGTAACCTTGATTTCGACGATCTTGCCCGCTGCTTTCGCCTGGCGAGAAAATCTGGGTGGCGGCGAATACGTTTAGTTACCTGAACCCGTTCTGGGAAGCAATATTTGGTCAACCACTTACCCCATTATCCGCCGATCCAGCGTGTGAATTTCTGATAGCGTGGGCTTGAGCTCGCTCAAGCTTCGCTCTGTCGGGGGGGGGGGGGGGGGGCTGACGCCATTCAGGCCCGGGAAGGGGGAGGGGGCGGGGAGCTCGCTCAAGCTTCGCTCTGTCGAAAGGAGGGGGGGGGAGGGGGGGGCTGACGCCATAGCTGACGCCATTCAGGCCCGGGAAGGAGAAGGGTGGTGGGGGACGCCATGGCTGTCGCCATTCAGGCAAGGGAGGAGGGAGGAGGGGGGGAGGGCTGACGCCATGGCTGACACCAGTCAGGCCCAGGTGACGCCATTCAGGCCCGGGAAGGAAAGCGGGGGAGGGGGGGCGGGACGCCATGGCTGACGCCATTCAGGCCCGGGAGGGAGTCGGGGGGGGCTGACGCCATGGCTGACGCCATTCAGGCCCGGGAGGGGGGAGGGCGGGGGGAGCTCACGCCATTCAGGCCCGGGAAAGGGGGGGGAGGGGCGGCGGGAGCTCGCTCAAGCTTCGCTCTGTCGGGGGGGGGGAGGGGGCTGACGCCATAGCTCACGCCACTCAGGCCCAGGAGGGGGGGAGGGGGGGGAGGGAGTGACGCCATGGCTGACGCCATTCAGGCCCGGGAGGGGGGAGTTGGGGGGGAGGGGGGGGGAGGGCTGACGCCACGGCTGACGCCGTTCAGGCCTGGGAGGGAAGGGAGAAGGGGGGGAGCTCGCTCAAGCTTCACTCTGTCGGGGGGGGGACTGACGCCATGGCTGACGCCATGTAGGCTCGGGAGAGGAGAGGAGGGGGGAGGGAGAGGGGGGGGAGGGCCGACGCCATGGCTGACGCCATTCACGCCCGAAGAGGGCTCCAAGACGGGCCAAGAAGGGCTCAAGACGGCCCAAGAAGCCCCAAGGAGGCCCCAAAAAGGCCCCCAAGAGATTCAACAACTTCCTCCAGCGCGCCCCCAAGAAGCCTCCAGGATGCCTCCAAAAAGCCCCCCGAGCAGCCCAGGAGCGCCCCCAAAAGGTGTCATACATCAGCTGCGTCAACATCCCATGAGTTTGGCTGTTCACGCGAGATCGTCACTTTCGAATATCCGAAGGTTGCCCAAGCGAGCTCAGCATCTCTATCTTATGGGGATGTCTCGATCGAGTGCTCTTCTTGTAAAGATGAAAGGTCATCCGTTGCAAGCAGAATCGGTAGCACCCCGGATCGGCGGCACTGCCTGGAGGCTACTACAATTAATTTGACATATGAAGTGTTGGGTGTGGGGCTCGCTAGGCTGACGCAGGTGGGGCACATGCCCCCAGGCCTGTCCTGGGCGACCAGGCCCGATCGAAGGTGCAGCCAGTGACGCGCAGCTGAGAACGAGGAGGGGAGGAGGGAAGGGGAGCAGGGAGGCCAGGAGGAACGGAGGGGGGGTAGGACGCAACTCGCGGAGGAGTTCGTGAGAACGACGAAAGCCGATTAGGCCCGATCAAGAGACCACCAAGCCGCATGGAGCCTGGCGAAGCCGGCTAGAGCGGGATTCAACCGGATTTAGCGGGATGGGGCAGGGTTTTCGACCACGGATATGCCAGCGCCGATGCCGAATTCAACCTCCCAGAAGTTGCACCCTTGGGGGGGAAAAGGGGGGGGAGCGGAGCGGGGCGGGGTGCGGGCGGCGGGACCGACAGCGTCGCGAGCACCAGGCGAGGGTTGGCGGACAGCAGGGTGAGCAGGTTGAAGATGAGGAAGAACGTGAACTGGACGAAGCGCACGGGGAAGTAGAGCAGCTTCTGGCACACCTCCTGCCAGGGCCGCGGGAGTGGGGGAGGATCGAGGGGCGAGCAGGCCATCACCCATGGAGCCGTGGTGCAAAGCAGCGGCCTGACGTTCAAAACTTTGCGAACTCTGGGGGGGGCCTTTCATGTGAACGCCGATCAACCTCCGGACGTGAGCCCCGTGCTCTCGCGCAAAGGGCCCAAGGAGGATCGAGGAGGAGCAGGAGGAGGGTGAACAAACAATTCACCTTCCTCCTGCTCCTCCCCGGTCTTGCGATTCCTCGCGCGGCTGCTCCAGCACTCTCCGAGAACTGGAGCGGCCGAACGAGGAGCAGGCTCCTGGCAGACCGCCAGGGTCGGGAGAGCAGGAGGAGGAGCGGAGGCTGGAGGATGGAGGAGGCTAGAGGGATGGAGGAAGGAGCAGGGGGGAGAGGGAGCAGGGAGGAGAAAACCCTGTGCGCGTCGCCAACCCTCCCTGGGGGAGGAGGCGGAGGTGTTTACGTGTTTGCTGTTGCTCTGGTGTGCGAGCATGGGGCCAGCGGCGAACCTAGCTTCACGTTCGCGAGTCAGCGCTTCGACAGGATCGGAAATTTTCCGAGCCGATGGGATGAGGGTGCGGAGGAGGACAACAAGGGCGCTGCTTGCCGGACGGAGCCGCCCTCAGGGTCAGCGTCAGGAGGGCAACGACTCCGAGGACGACGACCAGGGCAAGGCCTTCCTCGTCGAGACGCGATCACGGCCGCCCCGGAGGTCGCCAGAACACACACGAACGCACCACAGCTTCTCGCAGCATAGCCGCCGAAGAGAAGCGCACAGTCGTCGCACATCAGCAGGGGTGCAGGTCATGGTGCCAGAGCCTTGGGCGACCAGGTTACGACCCGCCACGAATGTGCCGTTGGGAGATGGCCAATGAGGTTGGCCGATAAACGGCTGAAAGGGAAAGGCAACGATTCAACGCATAAGCCACCTCGTTCTCAGTCAAGGCGGAGACGGTGATACCGCGGCGGATGCTAAAAAAGGCAGCCGTCTCGTTTGTCCCCGGGACTGCCTCGTGACTCCCGCTTCCCGATGGGCATGACCGACCGAGCACAGCGTTTCAGCGCGCGCCCTGCGCCGGCCCCCCCTCACCCAGCTCCGCCCACGATCGCTGCCGCCGGGAGGCGCATCGCGAGTGCACCTGTCCGAGAGCGCGTGGGGGAAGAGGGCATCGTCCACAGACCAGCGCGTCCCACTACTCGCAAAGCAACTAGTTACTCGCACATGGACCAGATCCGCCGAGGGGGATTTGCGATGCATTACACGTCGTTCCTTTCGAATCGTGCTCGTTTCTAATTGTGCTCGTCTCTGATTGTTCCAGGCCCCCGGGTGGCTAGAACAATCGGAGACGAAAGGATCCTGCCCCCCCCCAAACAAAAAAATCAAAGAGCCTTCGAAGGACTAGAACGGAACAGTGTCTGCATCGAGGCACGCGCCTGCTGTGTCGGACGCCTGCGCGCAGGCACTCTCTGCGCGCCGCGCCGCGCGCTCGGCGAGCCGAGGGCGCACGGCGAGCTCCCTGGCGCTGCGCGCGGCGCGGGCGCTCCGGGCAGGGAGGCCCCGCGGGCCCGCGCGCCCTCCGCCCGCCTCCGCCGGGCGCCGCGCCCCAGCGGGGGCCCCGGCCAGTGCCAGGGGCCCGCCAGGCAGCAGGGCGTCGGGGGCAACCCGCGTCGGCCTCCCGTACCGTCCCGTCGGCTCCTGCGAGTCGACGCCGATGTTGACGCCAGCCGGCGCTGAATCGTCGCGAAACCGGCGCTGACCGACGCCAAATCGGCGCGATCGCATCCACTCCCAGACGCTAATCGACGCGAGTCGACGCTAAAGACGGAATTAACAGGGTACGCCAGGCTCCCATGATTTGCTGCCGAAGCAGGGGCGGGCGGAGGCTCCTGGGTGTCCTTGTTCAGGCGGGTCTGCAGCTCGCCGCAGCGCTGAGTGTCGAAAAACTCCATGTCCTGTCGGAGGCATGCCGCGTACAC